TCTCTGCACATTATTGTCCTTCCTGAAGACATTTTCAATCATTGACAGCCTTTTTGAGCCCTTTTTTTTTTTTTTAGTTATTAGTACATCTGCTTACATTTTCAACCATTTTAGGGTTGATTTACAGGAAATGTCGACACCCGGTGAAAACACAGTGTAACTACAAGGTAAACTGACCATTTTCATTCATTCATTCATTCATTCATTCATTCATTCATTCATTCATTCATTCATTCATTCAGTTAACCATGCATTTATTTATTTATTTTACTCACTGAATTATGTATTCTTATTCTGCGTTGTTCAAGTAGTTAATTTTTAGCTTTTTCAACCATATTAACAGAGACTGAGCAGTATCAGTGTAGTGTACAGCTCAGGTTCAGTTTATCCAGATGTGTGACGTCATTCASTTTTTATTATCAGGCTCAAAATGTGACCTCCAAAATCATTATTGGCAACAATGAAGTATTTTTAGACAAGTCTCTCTGCTACATGTTCAGTTTTTCAAAAGTTTGTCAACTCCTCCATCAGGAATATAAAAGACACAAAGTTTGATTCACCAAGAGTGCACATTTTGTTTAACTTCATTCTGCTTCTTGACTTTTCCCACACTWTCTGCTCCGTATCAGTGTCATATTTCAAAAATTCTTGTACAYGGAAATTTAAGGTGTTTTCACATGTGAAATTGTGATCCTTATGTGAATATTGTGTTTCTATTCCTGTAAGGGATGAGGCAGGCATAAACGTACAATTTAAAAAGAAACGGTTTGTTTACAAAAACTTTTCATGAGTTTCTCCTCCAAAATAATTTTTTTACTCAGAGTTAAGCGGCTTAACAAACAGAAAATATATTCCTTTGAATTGGATAATAAATAAACAATCATGAATATGTTGATTACAGTTTTAAAAACAAGAAAAACAATCTGATAAAGATCACTTCAAAACATGACAAAATATTCAAAAGACACACACACATATTCATATATACATACTGTATAGATAGATAGATAGATAGATAGATAGATAGATAGATAGATAGATAGATAGATAGATAGATAGATAGATAGATAGATAGATAGATAG